TATGCCCTGAACTGGTTTGTGTGCGACTGGAGGTCCATGAGATGGTCTTCGGAGGTACACAACTGAATTTGGACAGAATTGAACAGTTACAAGCGTACCTTGCTTTATTGCACCTCGCAGATACTGCGTTTTTAACGAATTGAAGACATCGAGCAAGTGGTGACACCATTTTCCCCAATAGCATGTGCTCACTTCGTGTCTGTGTCACATTTTCGTCATTTGCACAACATTCTCACATTTTTTCATCATGCTGTTGCACACTTAATAGACTACAGTATCTGTAAACATAACTTTCATATACACTGGGAAACTAAAAAAATTCGTGTGACTCACTTTATTGCGACATTTCACTTTATTGCGGTGATCTGGAACCACACCTGCAATGTCTCTGAGGTATGCATGTACATAATTATTTTAATATGCGTTAGGAAACTATATAGAAAGCATAGCAAACCTGTAATGTCTTAGTTATTATTGGTTAAGGCTAGCAAAAGAGTTTTAAAATCAAGTTGATTTGAGGAAAGGTATGAAATGAGTGATTATCATTGGTATCAGTGGTCCTGGGATATGGGAAACCAAATTGGTCCAAACTCCTCATGTTATTCGTGAGAAAATTGAGGCTTACGGAGCATGTGGGGTGAGAACTTGCTTAACTGACATCACGGAGCCAGGACAGGAGGAGGACTCTTTTGCCATGCTGTGTAGTGGACTGACTGAGAAGATGCACTGCTGAGCCCCCTGTAAGTAGACTGGGCTGTTACAGTTCATGTAAGTCCTTGGCTCAGGACCTCCTGTAGTGCCTCGCACTCAGGGTCAAAGCCAAAGGCTTTCTAATCCTTAAGTCTGTCCTGCCTCACCTCCTTGGCCTCTCTGACCGTATGGCTTGCTCACTCCCCGACTCTCACCCCACTCCAGCCACACTGGTCTCCTTGCTGTTGTCTCTAACAATATGCTAGGCCTGACCCCGCCTCAGGCCTTTTGCATGTACTGTTTCCTGTGCTTGGTCTTCTACCAGGCACCCACACCTTGTTCTCTTACTTCCTCCCCTGGACCTTTCCTGATCATGCTGTTTAAAATCCCAACCCACTCCTACCCTTCAACCAACTTTCTCCCTCCCTTCCTGCTTTATTCTTTACCATAGCATTATAAGACTTTGAACAGCGTCCAAAGAAAAATGAAATGTGTATGCAAGGTTGTGTTGGTGTGAGGTTGATGAGATAACTGGGAAGACTCAGTGCAGCTGGCCAGCTGAGCATGCCAAGGGTATGGGAACCAATCCTGCTCTATCCAAAGTCATTTACCTAGCATGTGTCACTGTGTGGTTCCACTCCACTGTGTTTTACTTACTTCTCTGCTGCCAGACTCCTCCCACTAGAGTGTAAGCTCCCTTTGAGCAGAGACTTTTGACTGTTGCACTCAGTGCTATGTCAAGAACAGGGCCTGGCACTTAGTAGGTGCTGAGTCCATGTTTGTGCAATGACTAGACAGATGTCGTGTGTCTTTACTGTTAATGCTGTCCCGGAAACACACACGCTCAAGTCCTTGCTTCCATGAATGAAGCTGGTGGAACCTGAAGGTCATTCTTGAGCATCTTTTGGAGGCTTTATTCTCTTTGCCACAAAGATATTTATCAAAGATGCTTGGAGAGTGGGCTATCTGATGACATCAGACTGTTCTCTGACCGAACTGCAGCAGTATTTCCTTTGAATAAAATCCCTTACAGCAGTGCATCTCATCTAGAGTGAATGGCCAGTGTTTATTTTTTGGCTTTTTAATTTTCATTCCATCAAAGACTGATACTTTGGTAAAATACAGTCAAAATGTATTACAAGGAAAATAAAATTTTTAAAAAAGCAGACAAAATTGAAGCCTAGCGATGTGACCTTAGATGTCATGGCAACATCCAATTGCTATGGGAGTTTCTAAATGCTTGCTTCTCAAGTTTTGCACTTTCTTCATCACAGACTGTGACTAATCCATGGACCACACTCTGGGTATCACAGACTTACAGGACTAAACCCTTAATGTGTCTTCCCCATAGTCTCTTCTCTTTCTCCTGTGTTAGAATTTATCACTATTTCAGCAAACAAAAGGGGAGGGAATAACTTGGCTTTGTTTTCTGTCATATTTTTTCATTCAGTAGATATTTATTGAGCACCTACTGTGTGCCAAGCAGTGAGCCAAGGATAGACACACCACAATGAACAAGACAACCCCAGCCCCCTCCCTCCTGGAGTTCTCACAAGAAACTGTGATGAGTGCCCAGAAGGAAAAGAGCTGGGTGCTGTGGAGAGAGTAGGAGGGATTGGCTCTTTGGGGAAACAACACTGAAGTGGAGAAATCGAGGCTAAGGAGGCATTAGCCTGGCAGAGAGGAGAGAGGAGTACATTCTCGGCAGAGGGAGCAGCATGTGCAAAGGCCCTGAGTCTGAAGACAGGTTTTTGCAGTTTGTCTGTATCTATTTGAAAATGGAAAATGTGGCAGTGTGTGCACAGGAAGACAGCTCAGGGGACAGGAATGCACAGGAAAGAAGGACACAGGGAAGAGGTGACTACAGGGAGAAAGTGGGAAGAGAGCTGTTACATTGTGGGGAATTGCAGTCAGTGTCATGAAACAAAATGTGTGTGAACCGTTTTATGGAAAATGAATTTGCTCTGAACTTTCACCCAAATCACAATAACAATGTAAAACAATAAACCAAAAAAAAGAAAAAAAAAAAAAAAAGCCAAACTCACTGCTATCGAGTTGGATCCAACTCATAGTGACCCCTCCTTGGGTTTCTGGGGTGATATCACTATGGAAGTAGATTCCCGATCTTCCTTCCAAGGAGTGGCTGGTGAGTTTGAACCAACAGCCTTCTGGTTAGCAGTCAAATGCCTTAGGCACTATGCCACCAGAGCTCCCCCCCCCCAAAAAAAAGAAAGAAAAATGTGCATGCACAGTACTGCTTTGTCAGTGAAGGCAAACACTGATATACAGGTGGATGGATGGGTGGACAGGCTGATTGGTTAGATATGTCTATGCAGGGGGGAGTGTGCCCAAGACCATGTATAGCATTGGCAGACAGTGTTTCTACAAGTGTGTTTGTATGTTCTGTAAGAATTCCCAGGTATATAGTAAAGCTGACAAGGGCTTAAGATCATAGTCACTTCTTGGCCACAGCCAGCTACCCACAGGGAGCGAGTAGTTGGACCTGTGGACTTGGGACAGTAGTCACAGGGGACATCAAACTCAATTGGCATAACATACTACACAAAAACATTGTTCCACAGCGTACTTTGGTGAGTGGCGACTGGGGTCTTAAAAGCTTGCAAGCGGCCATCTAGATGCAATGATGAGTCTCTCCTCATCCAGAGCAAAGAAGAATGAAGAAAACCAAAGACGAGTGGAAACAGTTAGTCCAAGTGACTGGTCCACCATGTGATCTCAGCCTATATGACTATGGGACCAGAAGAACTAGATGGTGCCTGGCTACTGCTGTCAACTGCTCACAGGGGGATCTTTGTAGGAGATCCTGGATAGAATGGGAGAACAATGTGGAACAAAATTCAAAATCATTTAAAAAAGAAGTGGGGGGGAGGGGGACCAGGTTTGCTGGTCTGATAGAGCCTGAAGGAACCACTGAGACTATGGCCCCTAGCAGCCCTTCAGGTGTGTAATTGAACCCACTCCTGTGGCTTCCAGCCAAACAAAAGACAGGCATATGGGGTGAACATTTACATTAGCTAGATACATTCCTTGGAGAGATCAATCATGGGAGAATAGAAAGGCTGTGTATGCACAGGGAGACAGCTCAGGGGCCAGGAGTGTGTGGAGGGAAGAACACAGGGAAGAGGTAACTATGGGGAGGAAGTGAGAGGGGAGCCATTGCATTGTGGGAAATTGCAGTCAATGTCATGAGGCAAAGTGTATGTGAGCTGCTATATGGAAAGTGAATTTGCTCTGTAAACTTTCACTCAGATTACAATAATTTTTTTTTAAAATGCATGCTCATTGATGTAGCAATTCCACTTCTAGTTCTTCTTCTTTTTTGTAGAATACTCTCATTTAAAAAAAAAACAGTAAATGTTATTATTGTTTGGTGCCATTGAGTCAATTCTAACTCATGGAGACCCCATGTGACAGTAGAACTGCCCCGTTGGGTCCCCAGGCTGTAATCTTTATGGGAGCAGATCACCAAGGCTTTCTCCTTTGGAGCTGCTGGATGGTTTCAAGCCTCCAACCTTCTAGTTAGCAGCCAAGCTCTTAAACCATTCAGCCTCAAAACAGGGAATATGTATCAATATGTGACATATACATACACAGTATATTATTACATAGGCTTGCATGTGTGCAGAACAAGTCTGGAAGAGAAGTCAGGAAGCTGGTAAAGTGTTGCCTGTGAGAACAGGAGCTGGGGGGCTAAGGTCATGGATGGAGAGAAACACTTACTTTTTTGCTGTCTGACTTTTGTACTATTTGAATTTTCTGCAGTGTGCTTATTAACGTTTTCAATAAAAATCAGATTTATGGGCAACTGCTGCTGGACCAGCCTTCCACATGCAATATCGCCAGAAAAAAAAAGAGCAACATAAAATCAGGCTCAGTGTCGTAGAGGTAGTACAAGATCTGTCATGATCCAGGACACCCACATCCTGGCAGGCTGTGGCCATACAGTGTTGCTAGACCATCCTGTTGCTCAAGAGAAGCCATACAGCTAGATCTTTTTTGGTCATACGCACTGATTTTTAAACAATGACAGCTAATTCTAATTTTCTTTTAAAATATATGCAGCTGAGCATATGTGTGGGCTAGCCTCAGTTCACAAGCCACCAGCTTGCACTCCTAGTTTAGAAGCTGATAAAATGTATGCTGCCTTAACTCAGTAGCTCTTCACAGGTGACAGGGAAGCATTTAATAACGTGTCCTTGGTGCTTCTCTTTCCTTCTCCAAGGCATCAAGACTGAAGATAGCTTGAACCATTCCCCAGGCCAGAGTGGATTCCTCAGCTATGCCTCCAGCTTCAGCACCCCACCCACTGGACAGAGCCCATACACCTACCAGATGCACGGTCAGTCTGGCATTGCGACCCCTCCCTGCCCTCTGTGAGGCACCCTCTGAGTTGGGTGCCCATTCATTCATTCATTCCATTCCTTTATTTGGCAGAGTTGTTGAACACCTACTACGTGCCAGGCTCTATCTGAATTAGTTGGGTTCCAGTGGTGGGCAAGATAAGCAGTGAATCTGCCCTCATGGCAGTTAACCTGGCAATGGGGAGAGATTGGCAATTAACAAGTCAATAAATACAGGCAATCCTTTTGGATGGCTTTGTGTGGAGTGAAGCACATAAACGCGGTGTTTGGTTAGAGAGTGATAAGTGGCTGGAAGAGGTGGGATGTGTAACTTTAGACTGAGTTGTCAGGGAAGCCTCTTTGAAGAGATGACATTGGAGTAGAGACCCAAAGGGCGAGGTGGAGCCAGCAGGCCTGGAGGGAAGGGGTTTTCAGGCAGAGGGAACAGCCAGTGCAAACACCGTACAGAGGAAAATGTCTTTGTGTTCTAAGTACAGGATGGAAGTGAGGCTGGAGGGAACATGGCAAGAAATTCTTGCCGATGCAGCAGAGCTGAATCACACAGGGACTTGGGAGCATTGGAGATGAGCTGGCTTTTGTTTTTAGTGTGATAGGATAGGCAAGTCCATTGTAGAGAGTTGGAGAAATGCCAGGTAGTAGGAATCATGAATCAGCAGGTAAAGGAGCTTGTTTTAGGCTGAGTTCTCTAGAGAAGCAAAACCAATGAAGCATATATGTAAATATATAGAGATTTACTTAAAGGAAATGGCTCACACAGTTGTGGGGACTGGCAAGTCTTAAACTGATGGGTCAAGGGACAGGTTTCTGACTCACAGGGTTGCAGGAGGTGGTGAATCCAAAATCTGCAGGTCACATGACAGCTGTGGGCTTCTCATGTCCCAAGGACTGGAGGTCAGATGGAACGAGTCCAGGATCAAGAGAGAGAGAGAGAGCTTTGCCCCACATCCATTTATATATTGGATGCATGCCACACCCCCAAGGAAACTCCCCTTCCAACTGATTGGCTGCTCATATCAGATCACAAAATAAAGGATGATGCATGGGGTCTGCCAAACCACTGAGGATCATAGCCCACAGGTTGACTTATAACATTAACCATCACAAAGCTGTTATTCTAGGCAGGAGGCTCAAGGCTCTGCTTCCTCCTAAGGAGGCCTTAAGAAAGGAGAAAAATAACCCCAGTGTGAAACCTCCCACCCCACAGGGCTGGCTCCCTGGAGTCTCCTGTGCCCACCTCTACTCTTTCACAATCCAGGAGCCCCCGCCCTATTCCTTTGCCGCATTAGAAACATATTGGTGTTGATGCATCAAGCAGAGGGGTGGTGGTTGTGACTTCAGGGATCCCCTTCCTTGTATTTATTTCCTTCATGAAAACTGGTTAAAAATGACCATGAAGGGTCTGAAAAGTAATGTGTAAAAAGAAAAAAAAAAATGAATGTGATAATGAGTGTTTATTTAAACAAACTGTTTGCAAGTATTGTCATTTCATCTTTTATATGAAAGTTTTTATTAAAGAAACAACCAAATAGGTGTCAGGGGCAGCCTTTCAAGAAAAAAAAAATTGTGAAGGGACGGCTGATGATCCTAGGGGTACATATAGAGAATAATTGCAGGTTTTGATGAAGCCTGTGAAGGACAAAATCAGGACTACGTGATGGACAATGGCTAGAGGA